AAGTACGAGTAGCTTTAGCGCCATGTACTGCAATCTATTAAAGATTTAGAGAGTGTGTGAGATGATAGAGTGGATAAAATAGGTTATAGTTTATATTAAAAAAGTTACTGAAAAGCAAGTTAGAGTAAAAATAAAAAGGATCTGAGTAAAATGAGAGTTTACTGCTAGTTCTTTAACATTAAAAAAGGTAATAAACGTGGAAAATAGTAAAGCAATCCTCCTTGCGGAGTTTGGCCTGATGACATCACTGGAAGTCGCGGGATCGATACCCTGATAAGACGAATATATGTAATAATATATTTTTTTTATTCACTTTGACAAAAACAAAAAATATTGATATTCAAAGCCACAACCAAAACATCATGTCTCACAATGTTGCCGAAAAGTGCAAAGCGATGTCAAAAGTTATGTTCTTTCTCTAAGGAAAAAATTGTTAAGTTATCCGTATAAAAATAATAAAATAAGGCAAATCCACTATTTTCAACTAGTATAATATCTAAATTTGATATTCATAGGATGGAAGCTTTGTGGTGAGGCAGCTAATGCGTTTTAACGTGTAAATCGCAGCTATGAGGAAGCTGTGGCTTTTGAGATGCGGTTTGCGTATCCTATAGCTGGTTTTCTTAATTATCATATCCATAACGACATATTGACCGTTAGACAAGGTTGACGTGTGAAACCAGGACGTGTCACGACAAATTTCAAAGAAATTATAATAAAGTATATTATATCGTTACATAAATACAATAATATTCAAACCAAATTTAAAGTATTTAAAGCATATATATGGCATATATGTGTATTTATAAATATAGAAAATATATATTAGGAACTAGGGTTGTAGGACATATTCACTTCTTGTAATTTATAAAGATTCATAAGTATTTTTGACCACGTACTTTCTAAAACCCTTTTCCATTAGCCTTTATTTGAACTCTACAATTTAATCGTGAGTCGTAGGAATAGCGAACGTGATCTTTAATTTTCGTATTTTTCCCACGTTATAACTATAGGTATAATGATTAAACTAAATAAATATAATTATATAAGACAGCTATATATATACTAATAAATGGAGAGTCGATTTTTTTGTTCGGTTGTACTGCGATAACTACTGAACTGATCGGGATAATACGCATACCATAAGATGCAGCGTGTTTCGGAGAAGGTTTTAGTATATGATATGTTGGCGATTAATGTACTATGCGGGCGGAGCCGCAGGGAAACCCTAGTATAAATATATATATCAATTGAAAGTAAAAGCTTGAAATTAATACCAAAATCTATAAAATCGTCTAAATATCCAAAATGTCGTCATAGCATCTTACGTATAAAAGTCGGTACTATAAACAAAATCGCAAGTGTACTCGTTATGAAAGGTCATAGGACTATAGTTCTAATAAAGTAGCGAAGGGGTCAAGAATGAACATAGATGTAATGCGTATTTCTGTTTTAGCATGTGTTTAATTAAAACGTTTGGACATAACTAATTCAATGGGATTTTAATAACTCATAAAATTTAACAAGAAGTGATCAAAGAAAATCTTACTTTTAATATTCCTATAATATACCTTTGTATCGTTTATTAGTAATTCTGGTTCGATTTAGATAAAATTTAGTACATACATAGTTGACTATGACCTGGAATAACACACAGGCTCCTGGACACCTAAAGACGAGCGAGCAAAACGAGGGTAAGTAGCTTGTATCTAATCTATAGGTACATATAATAAAATTCTAACTGAGTCGAATCTATACATTAAATATTTTTTGGAAAATCTTATTGAAATAGTCATTATTATCGATACAGACGCCGAATATATAGTTTTTAGAATTTTTGTCTATCTGTATGTCAGTCTGGGAACGCATAACGAGAAAACCACTGGACGTATTTTGATGAAATTTGGTATGATAAAAGCTAGTTATCCGGGTCAAAATATAGGATACTTTTTATTGAGAGAAAATATCTCATCTCTGAGAAATCTATACTAAATGTTAAAACTTAACTAGGGAAGAAATCGAGCGGAGCGAGGGTGAATCGCTAGTAATATAATATAATTTATTTATTATTATGACCATGTACAGCCTGACCAAGTCACTGTTTTATTACACTATTGTTAAACTTTGACATAATAACCAAAAATAAAAACATGTGAATTAACCCAGAAACGCTATATTATAACAATGTTTTGAACAAAACAATATTAGACACCGTTAACTGGACACCGTTAAATGTATTTCATTGTTTGAATTTAAATAAGTAAATCATTCTCACGAACTCTTTAGCGATTGCACGAAACTTATTAAACATTAATAGCAATAATTACTTCAAAATTGCCCTCAGTATTTCTTATACACGTTGAGAATGCTTAACCAGTGGTTAGTCTGAAGATTTTTTGCCATCTCGCAAATTATTCTTGATTAACTTAAAGCATTTAGCAACTTAAAGTAATAACACATTACTAGCATCCATCCTTTTACTAGACTGTTTATCACTTTATGCAAAATATTCTAAGTTATCAAATGTTGCCAATTATGACCATTGGAGTCAAATGAAGTAACATTTAACTGTTTTTTTACTACACATGATTACGTATAGTAAAACAATTATATTAACGAATTCCAAAGCCCCTGAAATTCATCTGTGGCGGATTGAAAACGTACAAAAACATATTGACGTTATACCGAAATATACTTTTAGGCCAATAATAGCATATGGCAGGACTCGAACCCGCAGCCAATTTGGAGACAAACCTCAAACGGTCATAAAATATATGAATATAGCTTTTTACATCACGACAATAACAGTTTGCATAACGTTTTTGCACTTCCAAGTAATAACTTACACACAGAATGAGAATATTAACATAGATTGTAGTTTCTCAATTTTACGGTATGGCATTTATATTAGATGGTGAGGGCCTTCAAAAGTGTAATTTACTTGCGGTTATTATGGTGACAAGTTCAATAAATTAAATTTTATGTTGCTTATATTTGTTTTTCTTATGCCTAAATAGGTATAAATAATTTTTAATATTATTACTAAAAGCAATGGATATGTTTAAAACAATATTTCCACTCGAGAAAAATATTCTGTAAACTTATTATAATTCATATTTTAAATATTGTCGCATTTTTTAGCAGCAACATATTGGTATTTTTACAATAACTGCTGTTTTTATTATGATATGCAACAAATCTTTACAAAATTTTCTTTTTCAACCCATGAAATTATTAAATAATATTGGAAGAAATCTGGGACAACAAAAGATGCACTTCTAAGTATCCACAATTTTTAATATAACAAAGTAGTACTAAAGTTTCTAAGAATTGTTTTGCAACATGTAAAACCTGATAAATATTATATTTTATTTGACTCTCGTTTACCTCCAATAACAAACCTATAATAACTATAATCTCATGGCGTAAGATCATTAAGCATTTATTACTTCGATACAAGCGGTAAATATAAGTTTGATTGCTAATAAAAAACTAATTCCCTTCTTGCGATAGAAACCTTAAATAGAATTTTTGTTATAAAGTCATTGAACTTTAATCTAGGGAAATTGTTATTTCGCGTGTTTAACTATTTGCAACATCATTATTGTCTGTTTGTAGTTATGAATAAATTACTATAATTTATTGTTGCACGTAAAAATCTGTTGATGTTTGAGTGAAACAGAAACGTAGGAATAGGTCGAAAGTTTAGAGGTCAGGGGTTCGATATTGGATGGCGTGAATCTGTATTATGCCTCATTAAGTATTTTTCTAATATGATATGTGGATCACTGCACTGTAAGTCACAGCCAAAAAGCCGTAGTGTACTACTTACATATACATACATATTTATCTTATAATATTATATATAAAAAAATATTTCATATATCTCGGAAATGGCTCTAACGATTTAGATTTTTCGTATTTATATAAGGTTTTGCTTTTTAAGTTAATCTATATTGATGTCTTTTTCGAAAAAAAAACGCGATTTTTATATCGTTCCCGAAAATGCCGAGCGAAGCTCGTTCGCCCAGGTAGGTACCTACTCAATTAATATATAAAACATAATACTCAAAATTATTTTGATTTATGGTTATACACAATATAATAATAGCAACACTAAATAATATTAGTAAATAATACAGTTTTTAAAAAATTGTAATATTTATAATAATAACAGCTAACATTAAATAAATAATATTACTATATTTAATTATAATATTTATTACATTTTTTTTAAATGTTTAGAAATAGAAAATTAACAAATATTGTAAGGTACTTTATTGCCATTTTTGAATTTTTGAAATCATTTTTGTAAAATAGTGGGTAGGTACCGTCTGTAACAAGTATGTGTTTGAGACGTCTATAACCTTAGTCTCTCCCGTGACCATGATTGCTGTAAAGCATTCGAAACGTCGGGAACCAAAAATAAAAATAAATCCGCGAAATAATCCGAAAATATAGTTTTATTTAAAATATAAGACATGTTTTTATAGAGATTTTAGAACTCATTTTGGTAACAACTCTTATTACATGGTAGTCTATTTGCCATATTTATATAATTTCCTTTGTATACAGCACATTTCAACATATATAATGGGTGTTATTTGAAACATTCATTTACATCTCCGTGCCGAAGATCAAACAATAATAAATATGAAGCAAACGCCGCTCTACGTTGTTACTCAATTCAATATGGTAAAGGGAAACGCAAAGATACTTTTATAATGAAACTGTTCTTACATACTTGTGTATAAACGAATCGTTGTAACTTGTATGAACTTCCCTTTTTAAGTTATGCATGTTTTTACCTGATTTTCTTAGAAAGAGAGTAATGTACTTTAAGTGTATGTTAGTTACTTTGAAATATAAGGTTTTTAGATATGCCTTATTTGTAAGAAAAGTATATCGTAATAAAATGATACCTAAGAAATGATTGGTTTGACTCGTTCTCGTTACATTTGAATATTTAATACACATACATACATTCATATATAATTTTAAGCTATATTTCTTGCAGGGTAGTCCGATACAACAGAATGCCAAGCTCTATGATCTTTAACTTTTGTTGTATATAATAAGTCTAAAGGTTTTTCATCACTGCTTTCTATTTATGGCACATATATACGTTTTATCAGAGAAGGTTTTTATAAATATGTAATGTAACCCGCAACTCGCTACCGTTCAACCGATTGTCATGAAAATTGGTACAAAGTAGTATGGAGTATTATTATAAAGGCACACAGTTACAGTATACTAAATAATATAGTAGGTATATACGTAAATTGTACCACTATGTATCATAAAATAAAATAAAGTCCCTCGCCGCGTTCGTCTGTGTGTCTGAACGCGATAAACTCAAAAACTACCAAACGGATTTTCGTACGGTTTTCACCTATAGATGGAGTGATTCATGAAGAAGGTTTAGGTGTATAATTCACTAAAGGTTTTGTGTAAAATGACTTAAATAAGACGATGATTGTTGAAAATGTCGAAAAAATCATGCCGACTGAGTACTTTATTGGCGTTCGCCGCGTAAACTAATAAAGTTATATGAAAACAATGTATTACATAATTACTCCTCTTAAAATTTCTTCCTATTAAACTGTAGCAACGCTCAACTGTAGAGACGACGAAGAAGAGAACCCGAGCGAAGTGAGTGTAAGTTACTAGTATATTATATTTTAAAAGACCACGACTCCCAGATTGGATATACGTGAGATATTCGTACATGCAATAGCCTATTTAAATACGTAAACACACAATCCGCAACCGAAAAACAATCGGAATTCCAAAAGTGCTTTGTGAAAACGTCGAAATGAAACTGCCGAATTCGTCAAATATTGGTAGAATATTTCGCAACTGGATTTTTGGCTCTGTTTACAGTCTGGCAGTTCGGTGCCATATTTACAAGGTAAACACAGAGATTCTGGAATTGGGAATTTGCGCCTCAGATCTACCACTCTGGTATATTACATTGGAAAAATTGACTTTTCGCTATGAGAAATGATTTATGACTTTTGAATTTTTTTAGATTGAAATATGACATGATTTGTTTTTTTTAATATTTTCACAATAATAAGATATCGTAATGCTTCTGACTGAAGCTTTATGGAGAATTTTAAATAAGTAGATATAAGTAGGTACATTTAAGCACATGATCACACAGATTTTTTTTTAAATAATAATTTACTGCCATTCCAACATGTTTTTAAGAAACTGCAGGGGCAGAATAGACCATGTTTATGTGTAAATTGTCCGTCCAAGGTATCGCTTCAGAAGTCATTTCTATCAAATAACAAAGTAATAAATTTATTTAAAAAAATTATAATAAAAGGAAAATAAATAATACTTTCTTAGATTTACGTAGATAATCGATATTTTTGTAAAACTATTTCTACGGAAGTATTTTTTCGCAGTTTAATTCTGTACCGTCTCCATTTTCTTTCCCGTGGCCATTTTTGCTGCAAAACATTCAAAACTACGAGAACCAAAGATCAAAATAAACCCTGCAAAAATCCCAAAAAATATAGTTTTACTTAAAAGAAAATTAAATTTGACTTACCAGCAAAAGGCACGTCACACACGTATTCTTCAACGCAGTTGTCAGTCCCGCTGCGATCTGTAGCACCGCTGGCCACAGAGACCGCTGAGGGAGCCCGAAGCAAACATAGTTCTGTCTCCGTCTGACTGTCCCGCAACATTGATCTTCTTTTGTATTCCTGTTGGAAAAGTATGTTTAATGAGAGAACGCTGAGCCAGCAATTTGGTCTATTTTTTTTAATTTAGACCTAAACATGTTAAGTGACAATTGTATGGTCTAGAATTTTTACGAAATAGAAAGATAACATTCCCATGCCAGAGGATTAATGTCAGGCAGGCGGCCTGTCGTAAAACTTTTGCCAAATCCTATCAGCAGTGCGGAAGATGTTCCGAAGTAATTGGGAAATGAGCAGAGAGATCTAAGCCTAAGGTATAAACTATGACTGATGGGAGAACCGAGACGGGAAGAGAGGGCATGGTTAAGTAAGGTCTTTGCCTCCACAGATTATGGGGCCGGTTTCTAACATCCAGCGGTATAACATATATAACATATAACATATTTTGTACAAATCTTTATATGTTGAATTATATATAATTAATGTTGCTATATGATTTAATCAATTCAGTATTTCTTGGAAATAAGCTATTATTAGGCCAATTTAGTTAATAAGCTAACCTTTGCGATATTTAGTAAGTTGGCACAATTTTAGCATTGAACCGAATTACACGCAATATTTCCATTAAATACCTTTGATAGCCTTCTGTTACGTAGTCCTTTTGAAAAAAAAATCGTACAATTTCATTATCTTTTTTGCATATTTAACTTTAATTTTTAACAGAAAAAAAACATTTTAATATTTTAAATACATTTAAATACATAAATATAGACAAACCTACCTGACCTTAAAGTAAAATATACATATGTATATTTGAAGTAATATAAAAAATGATATCTTACCGTTTGATCTGCAATCTTTTTTATATTGTATCACAAAAATGCTTATAAAGATTATTAAATAAGCCTGATCTTTCAGTTAATTCTTAGCAAAATTGCTGGGGTTTTTTTCGAAAAATAACTCCGATTCCTACTATTTCCTATTATCTATTAATTATACAGACAAGAGAGTCCCCAGAAGATAGTACGTGTTGATGAAAAGATATATAATTAATTGTATGCGTTAATCGTATGCGATATAAAATTGGTGTAATTAAGGACCGGGTTAAACATTTACATAGTCAATAAAAACTTTTACCTTAGACACGAGTAGAATTGACTACACCAGGCATACAAGTATTGACTATCTTACACAGTATAAAAAGTATTAAAAAATAAAATTCTCCTAAATTATAACTTATACCTACTATTTTTATCAGAGTAACACTGTAGCGGTCTTTATTTTATTTATTGCAACAACATATGAGATTGCTCCTTTATTTTACGTAGGCGTAACTTAAAATATTTACATGTACTTAGGTATAATTTATAAATAGTAAAATTAAATATTTAAGTAATGTAATTCAAACACGAACTTATATTGATTTGTTATATTTATTGAATCGTTTTATAATCTGACCTCACATCAAAAACGTAAGTAGAATGTAATGAAGAGGTATTTCAATAAAAAAAAGTTCATTTAACATATTGAATATCAAAAGATTCGGTGTTCAAATGTATGAAAAAATTACACAATACCTTAGATATCAAAATTTAATATACCCACTATCCGAGCGTTGCGAATAAATTTCATATTATGATATCACTGAAAATAATATTAAGTTAATTATAATGGTACTGCAAAATAAAATATATAAGTAGAAAGAAATTTTTGATGAACTATTGGACTAGCACGACCTCGTTGTTGATTGATACATATTATATATGGCATATATATCGGGATTTACTTTTGTATTTGACTTTTCCCCAATAGTATTGTTTCCCATTCAAATTCTATGTCTCTAGGTATTCCGTTTGTCAATGGGTATTTGACTTGAATATACGAGTATTCCATGCAAGAATGGGTAGCTGTAGATAGTTTTTATTTTACATACTAATCTTATTAAACGTCTGTAACACATGAGAAGCAGCGGAACAGAGCTATTTATTTACCACGGGGATTCTAATATTGTTATGAAGGAAACCAAATTGCTGGTTTGAGATAACAGAAAATTTAAGATATATATCACTATTCCAGAAACAATACTTGCCTTGCCATTTCAGAGGTATTCTTTCCAACAGACCCATGACTCTAAGAAGTTTCAAAACATAACAAGTTTTTAATAGGACACTAATGTTCTTATCTAGATAATCTGGGAATGAAGTTCAGACACTTATTATTTTGTTTTTATTTCGTTATTATGTAGTATTTCGTACTTTTGTTTGTTTTGTATTAACAATGGGGGAGATTACCGGCAAGTCATCCGAGGCACAGTCGATACAGGAGCAAATATCAGAATAATTAGATAAACGATAACCCATCATTGGCAAAGATATCGCGTAATACACTCATAACAAAAAATACTCGAATTGAAACCTTCTTCGGTTGAAATTCCAAACCCTTTTTATTTTTGTAACAAAAATACAATATTTTTATTCTTTATAGAAAAAAATACAAAAACAAGAAAACATGGTAAATTAAATAAATAAATCGAATCAAAATAAAACCTAGCAAAATAAAAAAATGAAACAGGTAAAAAATAAAAACGACAACATAAATTAATCATTAAAATATTTATTTATGAACGAAAATAAAATTGAACATAATACAAAAGAAGCCTTAAAATATAGGAAAAAATGCAAAATCATAATATAACATAATTATTATTCTTTTTTTTTCATATAACATGGTAATTATTTTGATAAATACTTCAGACGGTAATCAATGTATAGTAAATTCGTTTTAAACAAGTGGTAAAATAAAGAATACATTTATTCGATTTTCCATACAACGGATAAATCTACATACGAATGTCAAACTGATCACTCCATTTACAAAATGTAAGTATTTTTCCTATACCAGGTAAGAACTAAGAACATGTAGGTAATTTTATTCTAAGTTCTTATTATTTTTTATTACCGATTTTGGATTATTGTTGTTATAATCAACCTTATGGTAATAAAATACAGTAATAAATTCGCTGTTATAGGAGTATATTTACACATTCTTTAAATAGAGTGATAAGAATGATAGCTAACTAGTTATGACGACAAAATGTCATTTTTTCAAGACATCGACCAATACCTATTTTCATACTGCATTCAATTCCAATTTTTACGATAATCTAACATTCATACTATTCGTCTCTCATTGCCATAACGTAGGTATATAACTAAAAAATTAGTCGATTTCTGAGCAAATGACTTGCTCGATTAGAATAATTCATAAAACCTAGCACGATACTGTCATGTCGGTAATATAATAAAAATATACGTGTAAAACGAAATTGTTTCACAAACATAGGAATCTTGAATATTTAAAATTATTTTCAAAACAGTTTCGTCTTAAAACAATACTAGTAATAAAAAAGTTTATAAAATCTATAAATTAGCACCTTAATATTAGCACTTAATTATAAAAAATACACGAATAAAATTTATTTACAAAGAACGCAAAGTAATTCAATCATGTAGCACCATACGAAATACTAAATCACATTTATGTGTAGCAAAACTAACATATCTTATAATAATTTCTAAAAGCATCAACTATTCGCAATATCGCCTTGCGATTTCTTTCTAATTCTTATTTCTTCTACAACCTCCATAATTAGCTGAAATATTTCAAAAATACAAATAAATTTCTAGAATTTTTTTTAGAGCTCGTTTTAACTTAGCATGCTCATGCTTATATTTGAGTCAGCCTTCGTGAAATATACAAAATCACAAATTCAAACAAAAACTTTGTTCTTCTAATAAATAAATAAAAATTGAGCAAACCAAGAATACTAACACAAACAGACATACTAACGTAAACATGAAAAAATATATCAATCTTAAATATATGACTATTATTAAATAAATTCTCATATTAATACAAAAACTGAAAACTCCTAATATTTAGACAATATTTTTTCGTCGTTTCGTTTTTAGTCTAAGCGCAATGCAATGGTACACAAGTACGAGTATTTAAGTAAGTTATGTATGTATTTAATGTGTTGTTAATATTTTCTTAAAAATGAATTGTATACAATATGCGAACGAAATTGTTAGATTTAGATATAAATATATAGATGATAAAATAATAATAAATTAATATATGTACATAATAAAATGAAACAATCAAACTTATGAATTACATGTCATAATATAAGTAAAACCAAATATACAATTAGCTACAATTTAATAAAAAAAAATGTTTTTGATCGAGCTGCGTAACAGGAAAAACGTGATACAAAATTCTAAAAATATTTTAATTCATTCACAAAGCAGCATGCGTTAGTGACAATGGGCAAACACAAAATTCTTTGAAATACGAGCTTTTAATATCAATCAGGACTAACCTGACTTAGCGGCCTGATTCTTTCGTGGATGCTGTTCTCTGCTTGCTTTGCCGAAGGTGGTGGATGATCAGGGGTGGGTGGTTGTACATAATGACTTGGCGATAACGGAATATCTATCTTCGGCCCTTCAGAATAACGATCACATTCGCTTGGACTGATCTGGTCATCTAATAGACTCTCCATAGATGATTTCTCTTGGTTCGAATATTTCCGAATCCTTTTGTCCATTCTTGGCTCAAAGTTCTCGTATTGGGGTCCAAATGTGTTTCTTCTAAGTTTTCTGCGAGGATTTTGTTCCTTTATAACGACATTTTCGTACATAGCCGTGATGGCGACAGGTTGGGTACGATTTTTTATGCTCGGCCTAGGGTTAGGTACTGGGATAGCTCTAGGTGAATTATGATTTTCTTCGTACTCAGAGTAAGATAGTTTGGTGTCAACGTACTGGTCGACCGATCTACCGTGTTTGAGGTAATTTTTAGTACCCTGTAACAAAGAGTATTTGTTAGAGAAAACTGTAAAACTGATAATTTGCTAATACGCTTAAATCATATCTGTATGTAGGTCATGTCTATTATTAGTATTTTATTGTTAAGCCTTAAAGTGCGACCGTTTTAAATAAAATTTCTATTTCCTTTAAACATATTTCCCGACGCATATCTAGAAAAAAATATAATATAATAAAAGAAAACCGAACTACATAACGTTGTGATGAAGAAATTATTATTATAATAGAAAAATTTGGGGTCTACAACTAAGGACTCACCTGTATTTCATCCAGGTCGTCCTGACTCCGCGCGTGGGCTCTCAGCTCATAGCTGTACCCAGAAGATGGAGAATTGACATGGGTGGGGGAAACCGATAAGTTCCTCCGTGGAGGCTTCTTAGGAGGGGTGGGCTGTAAATGAGTGACTTGTGATGACAAATTTCTAATCATAATGAATTGGAGATATTTAAGCGTGAAATAAAATGTGGAGGGAGTATTGAAGAAATCTAAACTACATATAAGTCCCAACGACCCAACCTATAATAATCAAGATGAAATTATAAATAGGTATAATGTATATACATATATGCTATGTATTTAAAAGTTACCAACATTTAACATAACCAAAATAAATGTCACGACATAATCATCTATACATATAATAAAATTCTAACTGAGTCAAATCTGTACATTAAATATTTTTTGGAAATTCTTATTGCAATAGACATTATTATCGATACAGAGGCCGAATCTATAGTTTTTTGATTTTTTGTCTGTCTGTCTGTCTGTTACCGCATCACAGAAAAACTACTGGACGGATTTTGATGAAATTTGGTATGATCATAGCTGATTATCTGGGTCAACATATAGGATACTTTTTACCGCAGAAAAATATCTCATTTCTGAGAAAAAATACAAAAACTGGTTAGAATAAAAAAACGATGATACTATATACATTTTAGCAAGTTAACTTACAAAAAAAAAACTATTAAAAATAGCTAATCTTGAAAAAGTATATCAATAGCACTATTTTATTCATTTTAAAAGTTATTTTAGTTTAGTTATTTTTGTATTCTTTAGATATTTGTCAATAGATGTCGCCGTGTGTCTTTAAAATACGTAGTGTTAATTCCAAAAAATTAAATGTACAAATTAGACATTTCTATGATTTTATTAGAATTACTACTAAATTACCCGCGGCCCCGCCCGTGTTCAAATTATCAAAAAGCAATCTTTTTGGCTTTATAAATTAGTTACATCTACAGATACATTAAAATATAACTAAACCGTATCTGTGCTTTAATATTTTTTGGAAAATCTTATTGAAATACACATTATTATCGCTAACAGAGGCCGAACCTATAGTTTTAAGAATTTTTGTCTGTCTGCCTATCTGTGACCGCATTACAGAAAAAATACTGGAGGGATTTTAAAGAAATTTGGTATGGTAATAGCTGGTTATCCGGGTCAACTAATATACTAATACGAGTAAACTAATATGTAAAACCTAAGAATTTGGTTTGGTCTTATGAACGCGGGCGGAGCCGCGGGCAATGCTAGTTATAATACATAACCTTAAACAAATTCACAAAGAAATTTGCATGTAATTAAGATTTGAATTTTCTAGGCCAAAAACGTATAAAAAGCTGTCCTAATAAGGTCTAATGGGATCCACGTAAGGATCGCAAATAGATAAGCCGAGAACAAAGCAGTTTAGGGAAATAAAGGGAAACTGTGCCTATTTATAGCAGAACTCATTGTCGTCACAGAACCGAGATAAGTGCTCGCAATTGCGTAATTGTGAATTTCAATGATTGCGAACAACAGATATGTACGGTCCAAGACAGAAAATAGATTTTTATTACTTAAACAATGAAGATTTAAGTTTCGAATACATAGCTCAGATTAAAACACACGCAGCGATTTACCTAAGCGATGTTCGTAATTTTGCAAAAACTGTGCGAAATGTTAAAAATTGTCTTTTTTTTATGTCCTCTGTTTCTTTGCGACGTAAAATAATATAAACAATTTACTTTATACTGATTTAAATTTCGCTAAAATTAAATAATTTTATTGATGTTTTGCTAAGTTTTTCTTTGCTTTTTATATAAAACTATTTTTTCGGTTTTTTTTTTGGTTCTCGACGTTTCGAATGCTTTACAGCAATACTAGCGGACCCGACAGACGTTGTCCTGTCTACACGTCTTTAATTTGAAAATTTCAAACTTTTTTAATAATTTTTTTGATGAAAATTATTATTCAAATTGTGAATCTAAACCATTCCCAAATCCCCTTGAACACACACAAAAAATTTCATCAAAATCGGTCCAGTCGTTTGAGAGAAGTTCAGTGACATACACACTCACAGAAGAATTATATATATAAAGATGGTCACGGGAGAGACTAAGGTTTTAGACGTCTCAAAAGTCATTAATATATTTCTATATCTACGACAAGTCTATCATCGAGTTTTAATCTTACATCAAGCATTTTATTAGAACCAGCCCTGGGTTGGTTGTTTTCAAAAAAACTATGTATCGTTTATCAGAAGTTCCTCGTTTATACGCGCACCAACAATTAAAATACTAATCTTAAAAAAAGAGGACCAAACATGTTATAGATAAAAAGGAATTGGTCAAATAACACTTGCGTTAAAAAGGTTTCTATAAATAAGGACGTGATATATAATAAACTTTTTTTTCTTAACTTTAAAATCTATGAATAAGTTCACATATTTTAAATTTCTTTTTTAATAATTTTGGATTAAGCTCTTTTGTAAAAAAAGAAGCAATATTTTAATATATTTCGTTCATAACTTTAATTAAAAAAAAAATACTGAAATCAAAATTTGCAGGATTTGAAAAAGAAGCCTGTGACAGATATACAGACAGCTGAATACCTATATAAACAATTGTTTGTCACCAGAATGATCTAATAAAGGTTCTGTTTTCTAAGAAATTCGAAACCCTTATAAAAAACATATTGTACTTTGGCATATAACTCATTTTATTTTCAATATATATATTTGAATTATAGTGCACTCATAAATATTAACTAATAGAGTTTGATAAAGATTTCCGCTTTCACAATCTTCTTATGTTTGAACCAAATAGAATCCCGAGAGGTCCAAGTAATTTAATATCGAGCCGCGGATGAGGGCTAAATTGGCAGCAGCCGGCCGCTGAATGGACAATTTTCCACATAATAGCTTGTTAGACGTGATACCGGCTCTCGACAAATTTCTCTTAAATTCATTCTAACATAATGATTTAAGACGGTTCTTTATAAGATAATAATTTATTAAATATAGAATACATTATGATTGTCAACTACTGAAATGTTAAAAAAAAATTTGTAATAATGCGATATACTTAATGCAATTTCACAGAAATATTCAATTATTTTTTTCCATAAAAAAATAGCTCTTAGACCAATGTTATCAAGTTTACTCTACAAAATACATACACGTTTGATACTAATAAAAATATATCACATTTCTGCACTACAATCACTAGGTATATGTTTTAAATTAATTTATCATCAAACAGCAATTTATTAAAATTATAAAACCATTTCCTTAGCTGTTTCCGCAAATGTGAAAGCATTTTGGTGAAGATCTTACATCAAAGAGAGTTATATAAATCAAGATGCGCACGCGCAGACGTCGCGGTCCTGATGCAATTAATACGGCGCCAACATGTCCGAAACATCAGTGATTTGTGTAAATGATGAAGGAGTTTATTGAGCGTGACCGATAAGGCCAATTAGTTTTAAAGGTTAATTAATTGTCATTTAGTTTTTAAGGAAGTTCGGTTTCTCAGAAGTTATGGCTACCATAAAAGAAGGATTTATAGAAGGAGTTAAAAGTGCCGTGACTTTTATTTGCGTTTTACTTTTATATCGCGTTGTTTCTATGGTAAAATTAGATATTTTATGAAGCTTTGGATTTGGAATGTACGTTGAACACGTTGAAATGACATATTATGATTGTATGGCAATACAAAATTTGTAAAAAAAATATACTCTGATAAACTTTATTCTGGCGAATTATAATTTCCGTCCAACAACAAGTTATTCCTAGTGCATCTGAAATAACAACTGCAAAGTATTTATTTACATTTTACATTTAAACATTCGATGGTTTATTACAAAATAATCTGTTGAAAATCGATCCAGTACTATTTATTGTAATCCAATATATCGAATGCATATCTCATCGAGTTCCACTGACCCACATGGAGTGGCATCATTTAGTTATAAACACGAACATTAGCCACGCAATCCATAACGCATCTGGCTAAACCAAATGTCGATGAAGTAATTTTTATCTACTGATTGAGATTCATAGTTCAATATAGTAAGAAGCTCTTGACTGTTAATTTTGATGTAATCATAAGATGAAAAATATCTTCTAATCATCATCATACATACAGTTGAGTAACAATTTAACTATTGAAATACTACACACATATCTACTTATTATAGAAGTGTATGGTTTAGCTGTTCATATCACCAGGTCAGAAGACATACATGGAAATAAAGTATAATAGGAATGATTGAAAATTTTGTATTTGATATGCCGCAAAACTGATAATACGTGACCCATAAGACAAAAAGTCCTGACGTAAGAGAAATTAGAATTCAGAAACAGCATTGAAACGACGATGACTTCATAAGAGCACGATTTCATAATTTAATTGGAAAAATGTATTATAAACACCATAATCCAAGGCTCCACAATCCACAATATACATAACATGTACGTTTTATACTGCGGTACGTTGGCGAGTCGCCAAATATCAGTCCGTGAAATCCTATTTTCGTAGATTTCCACTATTTAGTAGACAAAGAAGAAGTATCGACAGAAAGTATATTTTTACATTATAATAAAAAAATGGTTATTATAAGAAATATGACCCTTTCTACCTTTTAAAATATTTAATTAGGCTATGGAAACGTAAAAAAGTAGGAGGTAAATTATAAAATTCATGTTTTGTCAGAGTTCAAGGGGTGGAAAGTATTATTTATGATAGTTTTTTTAGAGGCAATAACAAAAAAGAAACAATAATTATAGGGCAGGCAATAAAAAAAAATTGTATTCACAATATTTAAATTTAAAAACTTCAAGTGAAAGATCACAGGTATTTAGATTTTATAAAAAAGTCAATCTAGTAACCTCATGTCTTATTCTTTGACACATTGTTACAAGTATCGGCCATATGGGAAATTGCGAAACACAAAATTAGGTTATCGAGTCCTTGACATGCGCATAATCTTACTTTTGACTTCCTAAGATTTTGTGTACGTTATTTTTAATACCGATGCTGCATTTTAATTTCTGCATCATTCAGAGAAAATAAATAATTTAGTAAACGTACCGTATTTAAATTAATGAGAACTTGTTTACATTACAATGCTTACATATGTCAAAACAATTACATATACGTATACGCGTATGTATATATATTTTGGTATCATTCCAAAGAGAATTTGCGAGCTCGTTAACGAATTCCTAAAATTAATTATAGAAAGGATTCTAGTATCACCAAGACGTTGACATTTAATGTTCATCGTTAAGTATCAATTTAGTATCGAGAAATTTTATTCAACGTCCATTTATTTCCACGATTAAAACAAATTTACCTATAAAGTCTAAACTAAGGCTTAAACTTAGTATAAATTAAAAATAAATTTACAAAAATAATAACTTACAAAAAATCGACACAATTTTCTTTAACACACACACGCACAAACAAACACGGATAATTCCCGAACCTATCAACAATATCTAAATATATTCAAAGCAATCACTAAATCTATTCATCTATTCACTAATGCACGACAAACGCGTGCTTCGATCACACTCGCGGCGAGACTGACATCCTAATTCTTACGTTCAAAAATCCAGTGCCCATGTGGGAATGTGTTATGATTACGGTTAATCTAGTACTATTACGAGTGATTATAGTAAGCCAGTGGAACACGATCGTGCGTTTATTTTAATATGACCATCATTATCTTAGATAGGTACGCTCAGAATTGAGAGAAATGCTTTTGGGGCCATGTTCTATTTAAAGATTTACTTAACGTAGAATTATTTCCATTTTTTTTCTATTGCAACTTCAGACGTACAAAGACAAGATTTCTCAAACTATATGTTATAATGTATTACAATATAACAAACACAAATGAAAGCAGACAAAACGGGTTGAAAAACTTGTGAATGAATTATTTATGAGACGTCCATCCGGCACGAGCTCTACATGTTTTGCCTATGAAGTTTTATTATTTATAGCAAAATAACATTGAAATAAAACTTTTCTGTTACGAAAACACAAGAAATTAAGATATATGAGTGAAGGTAAAAGTTAATTCGGAAAAGCTAATAAAATATGACATGGATGCAGATGAAATAGCATCAACTAATTGACGATATTAAATCTTGGTTACGACATCCGTTTCCACAAGTGACGACAGACACCATATGTGGGAATTAATCCAATGGTGTTAATAGCAATTTCTCACGACATTTTAATTGTCTCTTATCAACGTTTATATTCCTCTTACATTGGACTTATGCACTGTACAATTTACACAACGGTCACGAAACATTCCGTTACGGCGAAAACTAATTTAAGTATCTTTATAAGGTTGTCCGCCTGATAGGCAAAATTATAGCTGGGTCGTTAGGTGTGCAAACGTGATTATAATTATTAAATATAATAAATTGAGTTAGGAATTAAAATAGTAGTTAGATAAAATAGGCATGTGTAATTTATTAATGAAACTGCGTGGACTGGCAACATACACAAGATAAAAAAGAGCTTTTAATTGATAAAACTTTAATTAAAAAACTTTTATTAAAAAAACTCACCGAAACTTTACTATATTCATGATGGTGCGCCAAATGTAGCGGAGCACAACTCGACGCCGCGCTAGAAATGCTCAACGCATCACCCTCACTCGTGCCCTCCATTTCCTCCCATCTTCGCCTCCCAGACCCGCTGCGAACATCCCCAATCCCCGAACAAAGCGAAGCATCAAGCGACACATCACGACCCCTCGAAACCAACCCCCTCGGATCCCCACTATCTTCACAATCAGATGAGGATAGTGAACCAACACTTATACCACTCTCAAATTTAGAAGATTCCGCTGAAACGAATTCTTCGTCAATCGTATCATCATTTTTTTGTTTATTACCGAATCTAAAAGAGCTACTATGAACCCAAGGACGTTTGGTGGTGCTAACGTCCGATTTAATTGTTTCCGCGTCAGAACTTTCCTCATCTGAATGTAACGTGCCATCCGAAGAAGAATCTTCAGATTCTTCTAAGCAAGTTTTAAATGATGCTTCAGAAACGATAGTAATGTTAGAATTGCAAGATTGTAACGACCAATGGCCTGAATGTTCCGAGGAGCTTGATTTCTGTAAATGCATAGAATCAGAAGCACAAGAAATGTTAGCATTGGTCAATGTCGAATTTGAACTTATTGAAATAACTTCTGATATATCTTTAATAGAATAAGGTCGATTAGTAGATGATAAGGAAGAATGTGGGGACATTGCTTCATATCCACTCTGCGATTCTTTATCACCTAAACTACATTCTTTTCTTCTGATGACATCTTGTATATCAACCACAGCGTAAGGATCTTCTAAGGATGGTACTGATCTATTTTTAACTAAACCAGTTTTTCCTATAGTCGTTGTTGGGGACGGTATTAAAGTTATATCAGGTGTAGAAATACTCTTTTTCATGGCGGAAAACCTTACAACTAATTCCATCGGTGATTCACGTTTACTGGCGTGCAAGGAACATTTATCTGAATCACAAAAACATCGAAACGATGAAGAAACAAATTCCATTTTACTTTTAATCGCATCTATGTCAATTGTGACTTTTTCATCCATTTCCGTGTTTGGCATGTCTAATAAATCTTCGGCACTTGTATGGCGTTTAGGAGGCCGAGGCTTACAAAAGCATATACCTGTTTCAAAATAGCTATCTCTTTTATCATTTGGTACTTTTGTAAACGGTTCTACGTCACTATAGAGAGTGTCTCTGTTGAAAATATAAATGAATTCTTGTACTGTTGGCGCTTTGTAAATACAGTGCCCGGTACCACGTATATGGTAGTTTCCCAAAGTATCTTTTAAAAATGAATAATCTCGCCTTGTAAACATATTGGCGTTAGCTGAGTTTCTATCTACTTCTATATTGGTAAACGTTTTATGTCTGAAGAGTACCTTTTTCTTAACCTTTTCAGTTTTCTTGTTAGGTAATGTACCTGTCATTGTGAGATATATCGATTTATCTTCAATGTCATCACTACAATCTACATTTTCTAGAGCACTAGCTGCAGTTACATCAGAAAAATCAGATGCGTTTGATTTAGTTCTATTTACAGAATTAATAGATTTGCTTGATTCTCTCCGTACCAACATTTTTGTACCGTGACGAAAAGATTTAGATTTTTCGGATAGCAAAATATCTTCTAAATTACTTTCATCAATCATCGAATCGGATGATAAAGTAGATGATCTGCTTACACTGGGCGATGAGGTATTTGATATAAGATTTGAAGGCATAAATGTTCGCTTGGGTGGATCCGGTGCTTTTCTTTCAGGTTTTATTGAAACGTTTTCGTATAAAACTTTCTTTTGTTCTTCCTCAATAGGCGCTTTTATTGGAATGTGCGTTCTTACAGCAGGAGTAGGACGACTTATTTTAGGATTTTCAGGAATAATATTCTCGTAAATTGAATCTTTGTTATCTAGTGTACTTGTTATATTAAGCCTTGGAGGTGGTTTAGGAATTAATACTGCACTTTCTGATTCTATACATGTTTTGGACGAAAATTCATAGGACTCGTAACATTCGTTTACTAAATGAGTTGAATCAAATGAGATATTAGAAGCTATAGATATTCTTTTACTATTATGTCGTGGTTCAAATATATTTAGTTTAGCTTCGTAATTTACGGCTTCTGGTATTCCCTTTTTATTTTTATTATCACAGTTCAAATCCGCATTATTGCCATTGTGAGTAATAGATTCATTAGAATCACTTAATTCATTGTTTTCGGAAATATTCGGTAATGAAGTCTTAAATCCAGGACAACTTCTATTACTCCTATTAACTGCAGAGTCTCTATTTAACGTGCCTAGCCTATCTAACGATATAGTATCAAATTCGTCGTTACAAGCAATATCACCAGATTCCTCCTTTTTTGATAGCCTTTTAAAAAATTTACTATTACCTATGTGTAGTGCATTGATGCTATGTTTTGAATCGGAATGTTTAAGTTTAACATCGATATTCGACTCTAACCCAGGATTAGATATGTTAGGAGCAGAGTTAAACTTTGCTTTAAAGCCCAAGCATTTAGAAGCAAGCTTTTTGACAAAACTCTGGGGTGAATTTTTTGTTAGAAAAGATGAAGATGGTGTTAATAGGCTATCACTTAAGTTATTGTTTTTCTGGGTCTCTGGGGCTTTCCTGTAAAACATATAAAGCAACAAAAATAAATAATAAGAATATTTTAAACAAAATATAAAATGTTAGTAAAATCCTAATCTACCGCCACCGAAAGCTTTTACTTTTTGATATTTAAGTACTCCAATCACTAAAAAATGATGTCAATTGACTAAATTTCTTTTTAATAACACTCTTAACTTTGCCGTTAGACTTATTTAGTGGAACATTTTTATCAAATGGTATAAAAGTCATATCTTTTAGGGTATCTGCATCTAAAGAAGCCTTTTTAATTTTTACACTGTCATCATTCGTACCACTTGCTTGATGCAAACCTTCACAACTATAGAAAACATCATTACTTTTTATGAATTTTCGTTTCTTATCTTCATGACAAAAACAAGGTAATCGATCAAATTTTTGTTTTTCCTCAAACGGATACGCATGATTACGTACATTCATAAGATTTAAATTATAATGTATGTAATATTCTTTATTCTCTTGATAAATACAACCCAAATCACCTCTGTGGTGGTAAAATGAGGTTGAGCTACTTACTTCTGAAGATTCTCTCGCTTTGTCCACTAATATATATTCATTCGATGAACGTCTTTTCACATTAAATTCTTCATAATCATCGATAGTATCATTTGAAATACCGGCAATTGGTACTGGATCCATACTAACATATTTATTATTTGTATCGCAACGACTTAGTTGGACTTTTATTTCATCAGGAATATTCTCATATACATTCATGTATGTTTCATTGTTCACGTATTCATATGTATTATTTGAGATCGTATCATTTGTATTATTTGAGAGAATTACTTGATTTATATAAGAATGTGTACCGCTTGGCTGTCGGTTAAAAGGTTTTGGCAATGGTTTGGGTTTCTTTTTAGATGAATCACTATCAACATCTGATGATGATAGCGACTGACCTGATAGTTGAATTATAGTGGCATTCCCATAAATATCTTGCTCTATTCTCTTTTTATTTAAAGAATCATTTAAATTTTGAAGCACCAATTGATTTTTTGACAAAACCGGTCTAGTAATTCCCCAAAAATTTTCGTTATCACGCTTTTGTGAACATGAGAAAGTATTACTACGTTTAAGAATATATGCATTTCTTTCAAATTGACCGGCATTTTCGGTGGCTTTGTTATCAGCATTATATACATCCTTATTTTTTTTAGTTAAAGCATGATTATTAGCAATAGCCGATAAAATTACGGGGACTTTGACATATTTAGAGGACCTGTAAATAAACGCTCAATATTTTAACTGGCAATTTCTAGCACAACTGAAGGATATATGTATACTGCGTATTTAAAATCGTACTCAGCAAAAAAATTCAAATATTCAGACAGAAGAAACACGTTTAAGGTCTATGTTATTTTAATTTTATTTGAATGTGCTCATCGCAGTCAGTCCTTAGCGAACCTTCAAAGGACGGTAGACTTTTTCATACAAACTTGTACCTGACCGTTTCTAGACAAAATCAAAGGCACGGAAGATTTTAATGAGACTCGCATTGACAGTTTTTTGTTTTGCATCTCTCTGCGAGGGCTCTGTTAAGAAAGCTTATACTTCAACGGAAAACGCTGCGATTGTATTTTGCTAGACGTGTTACACTTTCAATTGGGACACGACAAATAAAATTTAATACAAATCAATATAATATACCCAAGTTATTATAAATAAGACGAGTTTTATTAATACTTACTAAGATTCATTATTGAAATTTCTGTGTATATTCTTATCTGTCATATCAGCTATTCTTATTAAAAACCTCTTTCTCAAAGCTTGAGATACTTAAAATCTCAAACGACAATTTGCTCCAAAATCTTAATTGAACTTTGCTTTTGAAAAAATACCAAAAAAGGAACATTTCCAAGATAGCAATCATGAGTTCAAAGGTAGCGTGTGTCATAATTGAGCTCTCCAATTAAAAGCGAATGTTTAAAGCCTCCTGAAGAGTCTTTAGAGCAATTACATAGAGAGATTCCTTTGCCCCTTAACACGAACATTTAGAACCGCAACTCTACTCGTAGTTATCTCAATACGTTTAAATATCAAAGAGCATAAAGTTTAATGTAAGCATGCAACGTTAGTGGGTTAGAAGCGAACAAACAAGAGAACAACTGTGAATATATCACAAACTTAACAAATTTATATAACATAAGTTTTTTTTTTATTTACTCAATTCGTCCATAAAATGAATACCGTAAATTGTAATGATCATTAATATCGCAAAAAGTGCTAGACATATTTTGAAGAAAATTCAATATTTTATAGATAGATAAAATTATTTAAAAAATGATTAATTACATAAAAAAGGTACGTAAACTATAACTTACATGCCAGGCAAGGGGATGTAGCTTGTGGGACTGCTATCGGTTGGAAATGGAGGTACATCTTCTTCACTTTCGTAATTATTTCTTTTTCTGTTCTTGTATTCTGTGAAATGAACAAATTAAGTATACTTTCCTTTTGAAACGTAAACGCCAATATTTAAAAAAGTTAAGTATTATACTATTACTCGTACTAGATACGTTTTAAATAGATATAAAAATGGTTATTAGCTAGCGTTAGCTATATAAATTTTAATAAAAAATTTTCGTTAATTTTTCTAATGTTTTAATACTTATTACCCTATTCCGGACTAATAGAAATGCAAAAAATCAAATAATATAAAAATCCAGCCGTTCTTGAGTTATAAATGGTTTAACTAACACGACTTAGTTTTATATATATAGATTTTAATTGAAATTGCGTTGTTTATTTATTCCCCATATAGGTAGTCTTGTATGGTTGATCATATTTACGATATTCTGTGGTACAAAGACACTCTTTCTCTCTCTCCGGATGTATGTGTTTTTTTTTATATTATTTAAATTACTATAATTAAACATTATGTGATTCTATTAGCCACCATTGTATATTTTTTGCGAACTAAAATATGTATTTTATAAATAAAACAGAAAGTCTTGGCTTAAAGCATAAAATATCTCAAGATAACGAAGACTTACACTAGAGACACACCGAGTTAATTAACCATGTACCTAATATAGCTATAATTTATATTATTTGCCATGTGCTGGAATCGAACCGACAATAATCCATGCAGATATCAGTTCCAACTCAACGTTAATACGAGTTATTGCCAGCAGCTTTACTTTGATGTTTTTTTTTCTTATAAATCCACATCTATCATCGTTTTGTAAATGCGGTAATTCATTCAAACAAGCAAAATCACATGCTGTTTGTCTAAATGGCCCATTGTAATGAAACTTGACTGTTCCTAATAGAACCATATCTAAGAAGTCGATTTTCACATACTTCTAAACGCTACAGACTTGTAACTTTGTAAACGTGTAAAATGGATGGCGATACAATAATTTAATTCATCGATCTGATGATAGATTTAGAAGGTAAATAGGTCTTTTGAATGGGACATAATAAAATCGATTTGTTTTATTTAATTCGTTTTAACGATACCCATACATACATTTAGACAAAATCGTGATTATTTTTAAAGGATTTTTTATACCTATGACCTTCTTCAAGTCTTCATCAAAATTGGTCCAACGGTTTAGACGTGCCAGACAGACAGAGTTACTTTAACATTTATAATATTAATATGGACACAATTATTTAGTTTCATATTTATTAAAATTAATGTAGAAATATATAAAATACATACCTCTTATAACTCTTCTGACCCTTCTCGTGGCCTCTTCTGAATAATCTGCTAACAAATCTTCTACAGTTTTGTCTCTACCGTCTACCGCATTCAAATCAGCACCAGCATCTAACAGTATCTGTACTACTGACGCTTTCCCGAAGCATGCCGCTTCATGCAAGGGTGTGCCGGAGTTGGTCCTTATGTTGGGATCGATTCCCGCCGCGAGTAGAAGTTTCACTACTTCCCTGGTTAAAGATATATGCATTGTTTTACTTAATATAATTATATTTTCTTAATTTTACGTGAATATTTGACATTTTAAGCAAATTGTATCAGTTTGGATTTTGTTGGAATTTATTTTTTTGTTGAGATTTTGTTTCCGACGTTTGTAATGCTTTACAACAAACATGGTCTCGGAAGAATATATATGTAGGTACATATGTCAGAAGCAAATTCGCAAATCTAGTAATATTTTTTTATATATTGATTAATCAATTATGGTCACCATTTCATTAAATCAAGTAGGTTAATATTGTCATGGCAAGTGAAATTGTATGTTCAAAAAAGGACATATTGAGGAACGAAATGTTGCTATTATACCGTGACGTGTTTTAATAAGCTATGCAAAATCAATAAAAGCATATAATATCATATTTGATTAATAACGGCCCGAAATATTTATTAAAATTATAAAATAGTAGTGTTTCGGTGCCATCATTCCCTTTTTTTTTCAATTACTTTTTATACAATTTTGTACCGTCCGGTTGGTAATAACTACTACAATTAGGTCTAATACTTTGCCGTAACCAAACAAAACCGTCAAATGTCAAAAATAGAAAATCGCGTAAAAATCCGCAAAATAGTTTCATTTCAATACTAAATATTCAAAAAAAAATCAAATGTCAAATATACGTTTTATCTTTATGTTGATATTATTATTTTTATATATGTATATTTGAATATTTTCTCGATATGAATCAATTACCCGCAATTCAAAAGGCAAATGTCTGTCACGAATGAGCCTCGTGAATATTCATGAAACGGTACAAATGTAACGAATTTAGTAGTCGCTGCATATCGATACGCTTTTTATGCTGTTTGCTTTCGTTTATTGGGAAAATAAAGTTATTTTTTTTTATGTTTTTACATAAACCAATAAAAACAATACGCAAAATAGAGGCAACTAGATAACAATTTTTATTATAAATAGAGTTTATTAATATTATTTCAACAAGGCAGTGTATTTTGTGTACTGCATGCAGTTTACGATATATTCGTAATTTATGATTAGAAATAAATTTTGAAAGTATAGCTCTATATATTTTTTTATTAGAGTTGTGCATTAATATTATTAAACTTATCTTTTTATACATTATAAAAAATCTATATCTATTTTAATATACATATATAGATTTTTTATTAATTCTTGATTTTTTTATAGATTTTACTTAAAGTAGCTGCATTGATTTATTTTTAAATCAGCGGTATTGTTTTAGTTGAAAAAATTATACACCACTAAATATTAATTTATCAAAGAATGATATCGAACTTCAATGCGGTTTTGAAACCGAAATGATGTCATAAATATAATTTTCCTTTTATCTTAAAATATACATATAATAAAATAAGCAATTAAATACATACATATTGGCAAATTTGTAACCGAGGGATTGTTGGTTGTTAGGAGGAAAAGTACATCAGACCATTATTCATGTACCGAGTTTCCTGGTCCAAAATAGAACTTATATTTCATGCAAAATATACAAATTATGTAGTTTGACCAGTTATTATATCATACTAGCGTCTCACCCTCGCTCCGCTCGGGTTCGCCTTTAGGAAAACAAAAACAGACCTATCCCACGGGAACCGTACATCTTTGCAGGATAAAAATAGCCTATGTGTTATTCCAGAGTATAATCTATCTCTGTGCCAAATTGCATCCAGATCTGTTAAGCCGTTCTGGCGTGAAAGAGTAACAAACATCCATACATACTTACAAACTTTCACATTTATAATATTTATATTATACATGATCATTAGTAATAATGAAATAAATTATAGTTTAACATACTGACTTTAACAATTTAACTAACATACATTTATATGGCCAACATCATGAACTACACCCAACTATTACAGCGCGGAGAAGAACAAACACACTCACCCTTAAACTATACAATGTACCCCAACTAGGGGTACCTTCTATAGCTTAACACCTTTATTAAGGATAGATTATTTTCTTTACAACTATATTGAATCAAACTTAAGTTATCGCTTATGATATGACCTATTGAATAAAAAAGTATCGCGTACAAACAAACAAGCACACAAATTACTTTGTAACAAAAAAAAAACAACTTTACAAATTAAAAAGTTATTATTCCAACGGTGGATTTTTAAATTTATAGGGGACTATCCTTAAGGCATTATCTATTGAAAAGAATATGAAAACCGATTGATAATTGGCAAATCGTGTGACACCCACAAAAAAAGTAACAATTAGACGAATTGTGTATTTTTTAAAGTGAATTGAAAATGCAACTACTTACATGAAGACAATTAAAAAGGTTAATTTTTTTCAAAAGTTATTTTACATATTATTCGACATAAGTATACTTTACATATTATTCATTAATTATTTTTATTATTTTTCGCTTCCTGTGAATGTACTCTATCTCAAATAATTAAATAAGGCATATTAGGCATATTACAATCATATATGTATAGAATATCAAATACGGAGAGAATATATCATATATTTGTCAGACATTAACAACAGTTACCATGGCAACATGGCTATGTATTCTATCTCATTCTCTTGCCGGCTTAATCGTATACCCTTTTTAGTGTCGCATTTCCGTTTCATCGAGTTTCAAATCACAACGAATCTAAAGAAGTTTTACTTCCAAAATATCCAATATAGAGCAAAATTCGTATAGCAATATACTAATACTTTCTTAGATTTACGCGAATACTTGACATTTTAAATAAAACTATCTTTTCGGATTTTTTCGCGAATTTCTTTTGATTTTTGGTCAATTTTTTGAATTCATTTTGTTATTTGTGGATAGGCTGTCTGAAACAACTATATAATACCTTAGAGACATCTAACACCTCAGTCTCTCCCGTGACCATGATTGCTGTAAAGCATTCGAAATGTCGGGAACCAAAAATCAAAATAAATTCGCGAAAAAATCCGAAAAGATAGTTTTATTTAAAAAGCAATATACTACATAATACTACATATGAAAATTGAACGTTACGTATATTTATTCAGAATACGTAACTACAAGCGATCTTTAAGCGAACATCAGAGATACGCAAATTCTGGTTGATGGGTGTGCGAGCGTAAAATTGACTCGTTACGTATTCCCTTCCCGTAGTTACGGTGATTACTACGAAAGATTACTGCGAGATAAATAACCCCGGGAATATGTTCATTTTATATTTTCTTACATACAAGTTATATTATGTAAAGGATTAAAGATCATCGTTAACATGATTATGACAACATATTGTGTAAACGAGTTTGTAGAGTGGTGTACTCTGTGCGTGTACACTGTACAGTATTTTTATTACCGTTGATAAATTCAGTCTGGAGTGAATTGAAAATAATATTTTAGTAATATTGGCAGGTTCGTTAATTATTAACCAAAAGAACTTTCGTAATAATATTTTATGCCAAAAACGAAAGTTATAACGTCTTGTACTCCGGAATTCCCATGGAAGCAAATATTTACTATAGTGTGTCACACCAATTTTGTTAAGTTTACCTAAACTCTACTTTTCTCAATTCAATCAATCAATTACTCTTTAGAAACGTACATAATTAAACCATGACCATTAAATATTCACTACCTATTAAAAAAAACATACAATAGAATCAATTAAAAAATCATAAAACCCGACATACACTCAATGGACACCCTCCTCTTTCGAAGTCTAAAAAATAAATAAAAAATGACCATTATTACCGGCATTCAGGTACAAAGCTAGAATTAAAATCATATCCGTATTGACGACTGACAATTTCTGACAACGGAACAATGAAGTGAATTCGCGGGCCGATTGAAGCGTTATAACGAACGAATGAATATGAATACCGCAGTGTGTACACGCCTTTACATTACCATATATTAATATTCAACGATTAATAGTTACGTCACGTTATGGCATTAGATTGTTACATTAAAATATCACATTTTTAAAGTGAATGTACACACGTCTAGGTTTTTTCGATTAGGTTATGTCCGATTTCAAGATATTTTATAATATTTATTTTCAAAACAACACGTAAGTTTACCTATCGTTGTACGTGTATAATATATATATATATATATATATATATATATATATATATATATATATATATATATGAAAATCAAGTAAATGGCGGCTGTACCGCGCTTGAATTCGGCCCAAGAGGGCGCTAGTGTAGAGTGAGGTCTCTAGAAATGTCAAATGGTACTGAATGTTCGTTTGCGTGCGTAATATCGCGGATTTTCACTAGTATTCATGATTATTGTAAAGATTGTGCCATTTCTGATAAACTATGGCAGACGCGGTACTGCACAATAAACCTTATTGTTTTAAAAGAAGACTTAAGAAAAAGTCAATATTTTATTTATTTCGTTATGATTAATATATATAAAATCATAGTAGAACTGTTTTCACGCTAACAATAATAATTATTATTATTATAAATTTATTGATCCTGCCGCACTAACAAATGCTTTTACAACGACAGCGATAGGACCTCACCCGCCAGTGGCGCCAACTGGTGCCACCAGAAATGATAGCCCTCATTAAAAACATTACACTCAAAATCGATACCAAAACAAATCTCGTTACAAAAAAAACATCACACTTAATAACTTAAAAAGTCTTGAGATTACAATATGTACTTACTCGTGACCGTTCATACTGGCTCTATGTAGAGGGGTGTTGGAGAAGTTCCTTACTCTCCAATTGGGAAATTTGTAAGGATGCACCAGCGATGGATGGATTTTGATCAACCTTTTGACGGTTTTTAACCTGTTGTTGATAACGATATACACTATAGATCAACTTATAATTAAGTATAAACGTTCACAATAATTATCGTCAACATATCTGAGCACGTACTCTATATAAAAATACGACGTATTTATTAATTATAGATTCTTGGTAATTCTCTTTCGCAATTTTCATTTAACTACATATTATGTATTTCAAACCGCAACTACAAATTAACTTTGATGTATATTGAATCATGTTTCAAAACTATACACTTATATATACCTATAAAAGAATATATAAGTATAATATTTATAATCCTATTAATTTAAAAGATATAAATAATACAGGAAATGAAAATTTAATTTTTTTTACAAGTTACGAGTCAACCACAAAAGTAGAACTTTTCAAATATACTGAAATGCCTCACCTTTAACTTGCTCTAACGAAACCGCTAAAGAGAAGTCAAAGTTCCTAACATCCGCGAACTATTCGAAGCGGCGAAATCTAATTTCTGGAGTCAGCCGCTAACTCTAAAGATCCACGAGATAGTTTCAAACATCCAACGTTATATTTTACACATCACATGTTTTATAAGATTTACGAATAACTCATATTACTTTAGAAAGTTTTGTATCGTTTGAAAATTCACTGTGATATCTTACATACTAATAATATGGCCTGATTCCCTAACATTGAAGGGAGGCACGTGCTCGTACTGTGTAGTGGAATATTTAAAAAATAGCTATCATGATCAATAATCATTATGAGTGTGATTGCAAATAATTTTATTACCTAAAATTATTATAATGGCATTAATTAATACCCTAATCCTAGTGGTAGCCTAGTAGTAACGCGCTCGCTTGAGAAACCGAATGAAGTATAATAACAATATTATAAAAATATCATTAAAATATAATATTGTAAGCTTTACCTTCCATACTGAGCCGCTAGGTCCAAAGCACTCTCGTCCTTCACATTTCGTATGTTGACGTTAGCTCCCTTGGCTAAGAGCTGAGACACCACGTGGACGGAGCCGAATTCCGCTGCCATAATCAATGCCGTCTCGTTGGCTAACGTCTGATAACATAATGTAGAGTTATAATTCAAATAACATAATACTCTCCCATTGCTCGGCGTGGGATTCGAATCGAGGACTTCACAATATGCAATTAATAAAGTTAATATTTAATAAGGCATCTACAATATTTTGAGAAAGATGTAGAATCTTCTTTAAATTATATGCGTTGATGCCTATTTATTGTTATTTTAAGATAACTTATATACCTGAGTGACCTACGGAAAATTTTAACCCATCAAAAGGTATTTCATAGAGAAGTGAAGAACTTTTTGCATTTTCTGAGAAAATTTACCATAGTTATGTATATTTTTTTACACCATCGGAAAGTAGAGATTTAAACGAACAAAAAGCCCACCGACTTTTTTTAAAAAGCAGATATTTTGGCGCGAGAATTTTCGATTGAAAATTAGGGTGCTTTTTCGAATATTAAGTCAAAATAAGGTAAAAGAATAAAAATTTTAAATCAAAAAAATTACATTATGTTTTGGACATAAAAAGGTAAGTTTTCACCAAAATTCGTGAAAAGATTATTTTTTTTTGTAATTTGAGGTTATGTAAAAAAAGAGTAAATACAAAAGTTGTAGATCTTTTTATTACCTACATATTTTCCATTTAACTTTTTTTCATACGACTTGTAATTTTGCCGGAACCGATTTTTACCCTTAAAACTCACCCCCTCCCACTTTCCGAACTCAGATCGCCTGTAAATTATTTTTCCTTTCATTTTTCTTATATTCTCTTCCTTTTTCAATGGGTTTCATCCTACTAAATTTTTTTTTCACTTTTTACCATTTTCAAAGGCTTCAAGCCCTGGTCTACTAATACTTTTTTGATCAGTGGTATGAACAATATTTGTAGGGACAAAAACATTTTCCTTACCACATGATTGATATCGACGGGTGGATTGTTGTGAGCTAGAAGCATTGCGACGATTTCCGAATCGCCTTTGAACGCCGCGAGGTGAAGGGGCGTAGCCCCCTTGTCGTTTGTGATGCATGGGTTCGCGTCAACCGATAGCAGGTGACGCACTATTTCTCTGTGACAGATATTTTTTTATTATTTTTATATTATTAAAACTAGGTTATCTATTTATTGATACGAGATCGTCATGATAACTACGTATTTATATATTTAAAATATAAATATTATGTTCTTAATTATACCCATATTAGTTTTGTGAGCAATTACTATATTATTTTATAATATTTAGAGCTGATTATTTCAAACATTAAAAATATTTAAAAGTTTTAATATTTAGATAGACCCATACAAGATATATAATTTTTCATTTTAGAAATATGTACCTATATGCAGGCATGCAAAAAATGTTACTGTTAGAACTTAGAAGTAATCTCCTTAGACATCTTTCGGTGAATTTTTTGTTTCATTTTTTATACTGCAATTTATATTTTGATCCTACTATAACATTTGATTGTAGTAAAATCACGCGTCACTTAATACAGAAAATTAGTAGTAATATTGAATATACATATACGCTAAATTTCTAGTTTTGATTCAATTAATTATGTAGTGTATTGTAATTTAAGTGTAATAATTCTGTAGAGATACCAAAATGTAGCCTCTATAAGAAAGTCTCAAGATGTCATTTACTACGATAGATGGCGGTAGTAGTAGATTAAATCGCGCTATCGTTTGGTTCAACGAAAATTACATCCAGTTAAGAGTTCCTCTGAAACAGAACCAGACAAATAAAAATTTTGGCAATTTTTAGAAGCAGCAATATTATTATTGTTTATTTAGTTAGTGTTACAAGATATCATTTATTACGATAGATGGCGGTAGTAGTAGATTGAATCGCGCTATCGTTTGGTTCAAGCGAAAATTACATCGAGCTAAGAGTTCCTCTGAAACAGAACCAGACAAACAAAATTTTCGCAATTTTTAAAAGCAGTGTTATTTGCAATTGTTATTGTTTATTTAGTTAGTATTACTTTTGCATCGATAAGAAATATTTAAGTGATTGAACACACCACATTTTCTATAATAAATCTTATAATTAATACCTATGAATTATGATTATTATAAATATATATAATAATCTTTTTTTGATTGTCCGATATTGAAGAAAAAATTATAACTCGGGTACCCAAAGCTTAGAAATTGAAAATTTTGTTTAGACGCGAGTAAGGAAACTTGTTTTAGAAGTTTTTTATGTTTAAGAAATGCAAATAACTTTTTATGGATAAAATTTTTAATGATAACCTTTGAATACTTCCACTATCCTCCTCTTAGCTTCCATAATTAATCAAATCAGTTAAATAGTATTAAATACATCATCCAAAGTTTTAAATTAATACGACAATAAGAAGTAAGTTTTTTATTGACCTCTTGGAATGATTAAAAAGTCTGCATTGATGTACAAAAGATACACAATTAGCGTGTCAAGTGTCCTCAAAAAGAAACGTGCAATTCGAAATTATGCTCTTTTTTCAAAACTCTTTTGTTCATTGCTTTTCGGATGACAAAATTGTTTTTTTTTTGTTTGATTTAAAGTCACATGTCGCCACTTTTAAAAAAAATATTTGTTAGGAAATGTGTGTTTTCATATAACAACAAAAAGGGAAGATAATTAAAGCTTGCTTAAGAGCTGGGAATTTATATCAATATAATTTATTATCAAATAAAATTATATCAATATATATAGAATTACACATTATCATTCGAAACATTTTCGTTAAATAGGGCCAACCAATGTACCACTTACACGAACCATGAAAAACCAACTTACACGGTACTCCATATTACGTATATAAAAATTTAAGTAGACCGCATTATCGAAAAATCATATAAATAAATAAATTATACGAACAAAACTAAAATCCGTTACTCATATGCGTTAGTCGAATTTTGACGATATTTATTTATAAATAAAAAAAAACTCGTAAACAAAACACAGAATTAAAAAATTTAATGTAGAGTCCGATTTAATTTACTTACACAAAATGCCGCAAAAAATTAAAAATAAAATAATATCTTCATAAACATATATATATATTTTTAAATATACATAATATAAAGATAATTTTAAAACTTTTAAATAATATGTACCTAAAGCGAGGAACCGAGACTCTACATGCACCGACGCGACGGCAAGTTTCGCTTCGTAAAAATAGATGGCGCTAGTGGTCGATTACATCGCGCTATCGTTTGGTTCGAGCGAAAAGTACATATAGGCGAGAGTTCATTCCAACTGTAGACAAACAGACAAAAATTTTAAATATTTTTTTAAAGTAATTCGACACTCAGGTGTTTAGAGTTACTCGAAAACGCTAAATAGAACTTACAAAGAGTAATATTACATTAAATAATATTCAATTGTAAAATTATTTGATACTGGCATTGCCCGCGGCTCCGCCCACGTGCCCATCGCCAAAAACCAAATTCTTAAGTTTTACATTAGTATACTCTTACAATGCAGTTTTTGTCTTTTTTCTCAGAAATAAGATATTTTCTCGCGGTCAAAAGTATCTTATATGTTGACCCGAATAACCAGCTATCACCATACCAAATTTAATAAAAATCCCTCCAGCTGTTTTTCTGTGATGCGGTAACAGACAGACAAAAATTCTAAAAACTATAGATTCGGCCTCTGTATCGATAATCGAGATTTTCCAAAAAATATTTAATGTGCAGATTCGGCTTAGTAACAATTATAATATGTATAGATGATATCGATTAAAAAATTTAGGGTTTATCATGCAGCATGCTTAACCCCTTGAAATTTTTTTATTAGTATAATTGAAGATAAAATATATATCCATATCTAGTTTTTAATTTTTATTAATTTAAATTTATGCTAGCGACTCAACCTCGCGTCGCTCGGGTTCAGAGTTCAGACTTCATCCCTAGGTACGTTTTAAAGGTTAGTTACATAGTAGGGAACACATAGATAATATATATACAGAGGTACAGTTCTGAACTTTTACATTTTCCAACAGTTTTTTTGGGGTTTTCCTTATTTTTTATTAAACTTAAACTATCCCCGACACAAAAAAAATATTCAAATCGGTCCAGCCGATTTTGAGTTTTAGCGCCACTAACGAACGGCTATTGATTTTTATATATGTACATATATGTTTAGATAAAAAGTGTTTGCTATGACTTAGAAAAAATAAATATCAAAGTCCATTTATGTATGGATTTAATTTTTTAATTTATAAAAACATACAAAATGTACATGTATTAGGTATTCTAAACTTCCTTACTTGTGACCCTGAAGACAAGCATGATGGAGAGGAGTATAACCACTGTCATCTTGAACGTTAACACCAGCAGCGTTTCTTCTTAAACTAGAACAATAAAAAACATAAACATTAAAAAAAGAAAAAAAAGAATTCGCAGTCGGTAGGATTCGAACCTACGCTCCCAGAGGGAATCTGATTTCTAGTCAGACGCCTTAACCGCTCGGCCACGACTGCTGCTTGACTCGTTGCCGAAAATATCAGATATATCATTGAGATTATTATTAATCGATAATATCAATTACTTATCGAGATAGTTAAATAAAATTTTGAGTTAGTACTTTAAGTTTAATCTAAAACAGATAAAGCATTTACAATATCGAAATAAAGCCAAATTTAATCGTGGTACAAACTTTTTTTTTCAATCAAATTAATTACAATATATGCGTCAGATACGTCAGTTGGGGTGTTCTTCGTGCTGAGGTTATTATTAAAGTGCCATAATAAAACAAAGTATGAAAATTAAGCAATGTTATTGTTAACTGTGTTATTGTAAAACCTTTTTTAAACAAAATATTTCACGATAGACATTGAGGTATTTAAACAACAGTAAAAGAAACATATTAAAATGCCTATTGTACTCGTATACACTATGCTTTTTTCCGGCCTTGACACGTTCTCAGATTATTAGACGGTGGTTCAACGATCTTAAGAGAGAATGCTATCGTAATATATTATCAGATATGTAATCAACTATACATTACAAGTTATTAATATAATGATAATATAACTTTCGTCTCAAAATTCAAAACATCTGTTTCAACAAACAAATATTAAATAACTTAAAGAGGAAATATTTTATTGGAGGTAATATTCAGTGCTTGGAAACACTTAAATAAATGATTTTTAAGTTGTCGCAAGAATAAAAGAATAAGCTAACAATTTTTTAAATTTTTTTTTACTTAAATTTGTACCTAAAAATAAAAAACATAGAAACTAGAAAATTATAAACTAAGAAAATTGGCAAAAAAACAATATTACAACGAATATATGTTCCTTGTATGTCCTTCCGTCACGCAGCAACGATTTGACATTTTTTTCTTTTAGTTTAACGGCCCGAGAATGGTTACCGTGAAATATTACTGTGTAGCAAAAAGTTACTAAAATTTAAACAAAGAAACGAGGGCTGATCGCGTTGATATAATAAATGATAAGTTCGTGTACAAAATTTTAATCGTTTCATTTATTTAGATGGAATAACAACATTTAACAAGTCCTACAATTGCCATCGCCAAGTATAAACGAAATGAGCAACCATGTTTGCTTATTATTTTGCATAGGTATTTTTTATACGTCTTGCAATAGATCTCCTACTTATACCTCATATGACTTAAAAAAAGACCTTATATTTCAATTAATTTATGTATTAAATTTACAATTTTAAGTTTCAAATTTAATTTTTGTTGTGTTTTTTGCACAACAAAATTTTGACCTTATTTAGATAATATCAGGGTAATGTAATGCATACATTGCCGTGATAATACGTACACGAGGATAATATAATAAACATTGTTTTGAATATACATGTTAATTTTAGTTATAAATTTCCGTTATATTGACTATAGAAAATAGGTTCTGTCTCTAGACAGGGACTGATCTCATTCAATAAAGTACAAATATTAACATTCGCTGAATGCAGAACCTGCGACCTCCGACTAGTAGATAGAGTCAACCAGATACGTTAGTAAGCCACCAAAATTTATATCCTAAATAACCATTTACCCTAAATTTAATGCATTGACACAAAACTTTCAATGTTAGCAGAAAATAAATATTTATCTATGATCTAATTAAGAGCTTATAAGAGCAGTTAAAGACTATAAACAAATAATCGACATTTATATCATTGTCATATTTAGCATATTTTTTTCATGGGGCCATCATATTAATTATATACTTGTAAATTAAACAGCAAACTCACCTATCCATGAACAATTTCCTTTTAATTTTCCTTTTAGCGCGGACATAATTTTTGTGAAAATTCGAACTCGCATCACACACATTACCACATAAATGAAGTCCACTGAAGCAATTCGCGCTTTTTTGTAAATCACTCATTTCTACATAAACAACATATTATATCGAGCGAGGCAAGTGAGGATAAACATTTAAGCATGACGACCTCTCAAACAGTGGTGAGATGACTCACAGGATAGCCCCGTGTCATATCAGAAACAGGTTTAACGTTAAACATAGTTGAAAAATAACGACCAAACTATATTGGAAGGGCACGGTTTAATGAAGTCAGATTGTAGGCAAAGTGACCAAAGATAAACATAATTTTTGATAAGATAGTGTAAGTAAGTGGTTCAAGGAATATCGCGAATTTATGTGCGTTCAATTTAAATATTGTGAACGATAATCGTTCACTAAGTAAATGAACAAATGTTTTGGTTTCGTATTTTTGATTAGTGTCAGAGTTAATCCTAAAGCAAAAAAATTTAGAAATAAATGAATAATATTATAGCCATTAGAGCAAAATGATCAAATGGGTATATCAATTTCTCTACCTTTTTCATCAACGAGACAACGAGACAGTAATGAATGCGATGCGATTTAATTAATTACGCACTAATAGGTAATAGATAATTAATATATTAGTAATCATTTTTTATTACACTACCTACGTCAAAATATAACTATATAACTATGTACTTATATTCAAATGGTATTTTTCGTTAGGAACTACCTGTTCTATGATCATTCTCGATAAGACAAGTTGGTAATTTATCGTTATAATACGAATTAGGTTTAAGATCATAGCGACTAAATGGCCGACCATGGTCCATGACTTGACCCAAAGTATGCTAAAAACAAGTTTCATACATATAATAAAAATCTTTTTTTGGGAATCTGTTAGACGATACCTGTAGATCGTCGAACCAGTTCTTAAATTTGATACAATCAAACTCCTTTGAACGTTATGTAAAGCTACTTTGTTACATTCATCGACAGGTCTGTAATCACTTGACCTACTTCAAACGTTATATTTATTTTGTTCTACACTCAATAATACAATACCCATTGACTTTCCCAATTTTTAAGTTGATTGTTTATCATTACTTAGGATCTGTTTCATTGAACAACGAAGATATACGAAGATACAACGAAATAATTATATATGCTTTTTTATTTATGATTCAAATAAGTAACGGACTCATTTTTTTAAAGTTTTAGGTTTTTATTAAAAGAATGGTTGCTTTACAATAAACTATGAATGTATTATTAACTTTAGACGACAGATTAGTAATAAAAGACAAATCATAAAAACGATAGGAATGCCTAGTTCTATTCAATACAAGAATTGTTTGAAACATGGCTGTAATATATTACCCAGAGGGAATAATGCTAGGAACGCGGCAAGGAATAGAAAGGTCCATTGCCCATAACGGGACGCCTCATTTAAAACTAAACAGCAAGGTAAATACGCGAAAACGAGTAAGTTCAATAAACCGACATGGGTATAATCGGACAAACAGACCGCCATACTGTAAACAATGACAAAAGTACGTACAGTATAACTGTAAAGTTTCAGTCGTAATAAATTTGTTTATCATCTTTGAAAAACAATTTTTGTTTTTTTTATAAAAAATCGATATGTCACATTTTAAATTAAAAAAATATATTTTTTTTTTAAAATTATGTACCAACCCGTAAATAAACTTTATCTTCATAATCAAAAATAAATCTTGTAGGTCTGGTATCTTGTACTTCATCTTCAATCTTAAACTCGATATTGGACGAACCCAACACGAGAAAAATTTACACCATATTTTCAACTAACACGCACTAACTTTTATGGTTATACCATAACCAATGGTAAAACGTTTTATCAGTTAAACTAATTCTCGAACAAATATTGAATTTAAGTTTTTTAGACTAGTGCGTCCTGCGAAATGCTACAAATGACTAAGAGAGTGATTCATAGGCAGCAAGCAGGTCTGTTGGTTACAACTTTTTATTGCGGTATTTTAAGTAACTGTTCTTTTTGAGTTTTTAAGCTAGTGTTCTAATTACTTATCTGTTCACTTAAAAATATAAGTGACACACTTTTTTATGTAAAAATAAACAATGTATAGAATTTACAGTTTGATTACTAATTTAATGTGTAAAATTGTAAATATTTGTTTTTGCTAAACTGTGGAACAATCACAGCGATTCTTCCTGCCATGAATTGCTAATTGTATACAATTTTATCGGCCACGGCTTGTCATTGCGAGGTCAGTGTTACCAGCAACAAGTGTATTCGTATTTGGAATGTTGTCAACGAAATGGAAACCGTTCGTGTCAAGAACAACCTATTAATGAAGATAAACGTTTTCCATACATGAACGTGAACAGGATTTTTATGTAAAAACATTCTAAGATTCTTTTAGTTATATAACAAAGTTAACGTAAAGTATTTTCATCAAATTTATAGATCATATTAGTTACAATAGATTTTTAATGCCTTTTTTTACATCCAAAAATATTATGTCGTGTATATTATTTGTAATTCCTTTTAACCTCCTTAGAAACTAACTTCAAATTTTAGCCTTTCGAATCCAGCATCTTAGTCTAAATCAATTTGATAGTAAGTATGTTATAAAATATCGATTAGATTCTTTAAATATTAAGAAAAACTACCTATATATCTATTAATACCTTTAACACTATATTATAAGCCTAATGCATGTATCTAATAATAGCATAATTAGAATTCATCGTATTTTGAAATACATCTGTTATTTCTACATCTTTACTGGGTCATTAGATGATTTATTAAACGAGTACAATTTCTTAGAATCCTAAATAAAATAATTTAAAATCAAATCATTGTGCTTACGAACATAAAATTAGACAAGTGTCATGGAACAACGACCACGTGTTTCGAACGGGCATGTGTTAACTTTCATCACATCATCTGTTTTGTGACATATAATGACTGACATAGAACATTGTTGATAATTGGATCCGTGTAGATTAATCTAATTGCTAGATAATATGAAAAAGATAATTAGTTTTATTCGATTGTTTAATATCGATTTATTAAGCGTTACTTATGAACT